TATGGCTTAAAAAAATCTTTTTATTCATTTTTACTTAAAAGGCTGTTACAGAGAGTAAAACAGATCTTCCATGCACTGATTCACTCCCTAAATTGATGCAATTGCCAGAGCTGGGCTGTTCCAAAGCTGGGAGCCAAGATTTTTTCCCACATGCATACACAGCTCAAGGCCTTGGTTCATCCTTCACTGCTTTCCCGGCCATTAGCAGAAAGCTGGATCAGAAGTGGAGCAGCTGGGACTTGAACTGGCACTGTATAGAATGCCAGGGCCACAGATGGAAGGATTAACTTAACACATCATCAGCCCCAAGTTTGTTTTGTTTATGCTTTTTTCCTTCATTTATTTTTATTGGAAAGTCAGATTTACAAATACAAGGAAATACAGAGAGAAGGATCTTCCATTCGCTGGTTCACTCGCCAAGTGGCCACAACCGCCAGAGTTGAGCTGATCCAAAGCCAGGAGCTCTTCCGGATTTCCTACATGTATGTATGATCCCACGACTTTGGGCTGTCCTCAGCTGCTTTCCCAGACCACAGGTAGGGAGCTGGATGGGAAGTGGAGTAGCTGGGACATGAACCATTGCCCACATTGGATCCCAGCAAGCGAGGAGAGGACTTTAGCCACTAGGCTATTGTGCAGAGCTGGGCTTTTTGTGTTTTTTTTTTAAAGATTTATTTTTATTATTTTTATTGGAAAGGCGGATATACAGAGAGGAGAGACAGAGAGGAAGATCTTTCATTTGATGATTCACTCCCCAAGTGACTGCAATGGTCGATGCTATGCTGATTCGAAGCCAGGAGTCTCTTCCGGGTCTCCCACGCGGGTGCAGGGTCCCAAAGCTTTGGGCCATCCACGACTGCTTTCCCGGGCCACAGGCAGGGAGCTGGAAGGGAAGCAGGACTGCCGGGGATAGAACCGGCGCCCATATGGGATCCCGGGCGTGCAAGGCAAGGACCTTAACCACTGCGCCACCGTGCCGGGCCCTTTTTGTGCTTTTAAGTTTTATCATTCCAGTACTCAAAATGATTCAATATGGGGCCAGTCATGTGACATACCAGGTAAAGGTGCCACCTGTGATGGCAGTACACTATATAGGCCATGAGTTTTGAGTCCCAGGTGCTTCACTTCATTATTCTCTGCTAATGGCTAGGAAAATTGTGAAAGATGAACAGAATGTTGGCTTATGCCCTACCTGCCAGCATCCTCTTGTGAGCATAGGGGGGTTTTGGAAATAGCTACCCAGAAAGAGCTGTGAAACACACACCAGACCCTATTTCCTCTTTCCCCTCACCCATATATTCTATTTTGCAGACTATAAAGCTTTGTGTGTGAAAAATAAAGTTGGTCAGCTTGATCAGACATACTGTCTTGCTGTCCGTTCTTTGTGTCTCTTGTCCCCCATTCTCTCCTAGACTGGTTGCAACTCCTGTTGACTGTCCTGCTGCACGGGTCAAAGAGCTCGCTTCTACTTTTTCAGTTAGAAGTGTATAAATTGAATGGATGGTCTCTGTGTTGGATTTTTCCTCACAGATGAATACAGATATTCTATCACAGTACACTTCAATGTCAACATTTTTTTAAATGAAAAAAAAAAGGCTTTTATTTCTTGGAGAATTTAGCACATCTATTTAATTATTTGTTTAATTTACTATTTTATGGTAGAGTTCCATAGGCTCTGGATTTCCTAGTATCCCATATGGGCACTGGCTTGTGTCCACTTCTCACCATCTCCTGCTTGTGGGCTGGCAGAGCAGCAGAGGATGGTCCAAGTCCTTGAGCCCCTGCACCCACGTGGAAGAACCAGAAGAAGCTCCTGACCTTACTTAGGATCATTTTGGATCACCTCACTCCACTGTTGCGGCCATTTGAGAAGTAGAGCAGGAGATTGAAGATCATGCTTTCCTTTTCTCTATAAATGTGTCTTTCAAATAATGTATAAACAAATCCTTTAAAAACTAAACAGAGCTATGAGGGATGAAGAAGCAAAGAGGGAGGGAAGGAGGGATAAAAGTTGAGATCACATACATAGCAGAGGAAATGGTGGTATTCTTAAAATCCATCAGAATTCGCTCTATCCAATCATTACTAAAACACCCTAGGATGAAGCATTAATAAAGGTCTTAAGAATATTACCTTTTGGGCCTGGCACGATGGCGCAGTGGTTAAGGTCCTTGCCTTGCACACCCAGGATCTCATATGGGCACCGGTTCTAATCCCGGCAGCCCAGCTTCTCATCCAGCTCCCTGCCTGTGGCCCAGGAATGCAGTCAAGGACAGCCCAAAGCTTTGGGACCCTGCACCCGCGTGGGAGACCCGGAAGAGGCTCCTGGCTTCGGATCGGCAAAGTATCGGCCTGTTGCGCTCACTTGGGGAGTGAATCATCGGACGGAAGATCTTCCTCTCTGTCTCTCCTCTCTGTATATCCGCCTTTCAACAAAAATAAATCTTAAAAAAAATATATTACCTTTTATGTTTTCTCACATCAGTTTCTTCACAGCGTGCTCAGTATTAATTTGTCTGGCCAAAATGAAATAACTGTTTATGCTCCATTTGCAGTACTCTGTCTGCATTCTAGCATTTTGCAAAGCCTGCGTTTGATGCCAGGTTCCAGCTCCTAAACCCAGCTTTCTGCTCCTAAACCCAGCTTCCTGCTCCTAAACCTTCCTGCTCCTAAACCCAGCTTCCTGCTGATGCAGACCCAGGGAGAGCAGTGACCGCTTGAGCGACTGGGTCCCTGCTTCAAAGACTAGCCTGAGTTCCTGGCTCCCACTTTCGGCCTGGGCCAGCCAGGGCTGACGAAAGCATCTGTGGAGTGAGCCACTGAATCACGTATAATGACTCACTCTCTCGCATCAATTAGAAAACTTCTTTAAAATAATTTACAAATAACTATTGTAAACTAAGAGATTTCCTAGAGGTTATTCTTTCATTAAGATTTAGTTTTAATAAGGAATTTAGGCAATGTTACTAAATGTTTTAATATATTTTTATAATATAAATTAATATAAAAGTATATATACATACATACATTAGAGAAGCAGCCTAGGGGTATATATAACATTATAACAAAATTTTTGAAAACACAGCAGAAGGAAGTCTATAGGACTCAAAGATGTGTTTTGGAGAGGCCCACCAACTCAAGTATGAAGTTTTCTAATACGTTATGTTCACATTGCTTTTGGGGGGGGAAGAACACAGCTATTACATTTTCTTTCAAAATGTTGATAACCAGCTCTCACCACTCAACCTAAGAATTACTGAAGAAAAGAAAAGAGTCTCTGTGTCTCTCCTTGTCTCTGTAAAGTCTGCCTTTCAAATAAGATAGATCTTAAAAAAAAAAAGTTAAGGGTCTAATGAAGCTAATAAAAACATTACAGTATGGCTTTCCTTCATTTCTGTGACCGATTTAGCCATTGAAACCATTTTGTTCAATCACAGTGTTTACCATTAGCTATATATATTTATTTTTTATCATTAGCTCTAAATACCAAACACTGTTCCTGAACTCCTGTTCTTGGTGCCAGCATTGTGGCACAACAGATTAAGCTGCAGCCTGTAATGCCAGCATCCCATACTAAACACTGGTGTGTGTCTCAACTGCTCCACTTCCAATCCAACTCACTGTCAGTCTGTCTGGGAAAAAGCAGAAGATGGCCAAAGTGCTTGGGTCCCTTCCACCAACCTAGAAGACCTGGATGAAGCTTCTGGATTTGGCTTGGCACAGCTGTGGCTACTGTGGCCATTTTGGGAAGTGAACCAGCAGATGAAAGATCTCTCACCCTTTTCTGTAACTGCCTTTCTAAAAGAAAACAAAACAAAACATTCTCTGGCACTATTACAAATTCTTATTGGTATTCCTGAAAACTGGAAAATTTCCTGACTTGCTTTCATGTTTCCTTTTGTAATCTGCCTTAAGTAAATTAGAGATGACTTTTTTTCTATAACTTGCTACTTCAGACTTGGTATTATAAAATATCCTAATGCCAGTAAAATGCAGCAACACATACCCTATTATTAGGTAATGGCAAGCTGGCACATGGCAAATAAAGTCCACATAATTTCCTACAATTTGACTACTCAATTGTAACAAACTATGTATAAAGCATTGTAGTTGTATTACCTGACCCCACTTTCCAAATATCAGTTGGGTGTAACAAAGTAAGAGACCTATACCTGAGTCCCTAACACAAACAGGTTAATGTGGCAAAGCACAGTATAATCCTCCAACCATGCTTCAAGTTTTATGAACAAATCTCAATTTCTCTAGGTCATCTTCTTCTGAATACTATTTCTTCATATACTTCTCTATACGATTTTCTAGGTGGCCTGAGAGATTTCATGGGGTTTCAAGATCATTGTGCTTCTCTTCCCAAGATCAGTCATTTTGGGGGCCTAAGAATTTCTGTGTCCACTTACACAATTCAAACAGACTATGTGATCAAAAAAACACCAAAGATGGGAAGAATCAACATTTAGACACAAAAAAAGCCATTTCTATGGTATTAAGCCTCTTAGCTTCTTTTTGCTTATTCATTCATCATACACTTGTATTAGCTTCTACTGTGCCCCCAGAAGTGGGGATTAGCCTGAAATAAAACAATGCTGTAATCTTCAATTAATCCACTAAGATTCCAAAATTTTTCAAAAGATTTATTTTATTATTATTTTTAAAAGTCATATATAAAGAGAGGAGGATAGAAAGAAAGATCCTCCATCCGTGGATTCACTGCCCAAATGACCCCAAAGGCCAGAGCTGAGCCAATCCGAAGCCAGGAGCCAGGACCTCCTCCAGGTCTCCCACGCGGGTGCAGGGTCCCAACGCTCTGGGCCATCCTCAATAGCTCCCCCCAGGACACAAGCAGGGAGCTGGATGGGAACCGGGGCTGCCAGGATTAGAACCGGCGCCAATATGGGATCCCAGTACATGTAAGGCAAGGACTTTAGCCACTAGGCTACCATACCAGGCCCAAGATTCCAAATTTTTAAGGTTGATTAACACTCACAAGCAGAGACTGCAGGACTGCAGCCTTACTTAAGACTTCACACAAATCTACAAATGGAATAAAACGTAACAGGAAGCCATTTCTGCCCATTCTTAGTGTCCATGGTAATGTTTCCACAGCATTTAACATCAGTGGCAGTTAGCGCACATACGCACGCACACACAGGAATATTTTTTCTTTTTAGACTTTACTTGGGATATTTACCGATTATAAAACATCAAGCTTAATAGAGAAAGATAACCTGACTTTTAAAACCTGAGCTGACCCATATAGGATGGGTAGATGGGCTTGTCACTAAGGTGCCTTATAAAAATAGGAAAGAAGTTATTATTTTGCAAACTATTCTTATAACATGCTATGTTTTGCTGATTGTGTAACTAACACTAGTAAAATTTGCTTTCTTTTGGTTGAATACCTAAAACTGTGAACAAGAAAGTATAAATTAAACCTAAAGGATACATTATTCTTAGAACAAACAAAAGGGAATTCCCTCCTTTATTAACTTCTTATTTTAGGAAATATTTATTTGTTCTCCTCATAAGAGGCACAGCATTAAAAAAAAAAAAAAGATGAGTCTTACCAGTCCCCCAAGATCAGGAGCAGAGTTAAATGTAAAAACTAACATAGAAAGCATATCATACCAGCATTTTCCAGCAGAATTCCTTTTCCAAATGATATTTATAAAAATTAATATCAATTGCATACAGTTTCAGCACATAGCTACTGTGTGATGAAAAATTTTAACTTAAAGAAATTGTGAAGTTAATCCGGTAAATCAATTGTATAACCCAAACCTAAAAGCACGAATTAGAGGTGACAAAGTTGTAATTCTGTCATGATGTAGAGTGGATGTGCATACTCACATAAATTTGTGAGGTGTCTTCAATTTTTTTTTTATTTTTGGTCACCCCACAGATCAAGTAATTCATTTAAAAGTTAAGCAAGAGGCACACTTTTAAAATTTCAACAGTACAGTTCCTTTACATGGTGTTACAATAAACGCACTATAAAACTGTTAGCTGAAATATAGGTAAAACAAACACTGCTTTGAGAACAGCATTTATTACTGCCCCGAGTTTAAGAAATTTAGCTTGTGATAAAGCAGATAACTGAAAAAGCTTCCTCAAATATGTAAAGAAAACGTTATTGAGACGCATTCTGAGGGGAAGCCTTGGACACGATGAATCCCTTCCTACAAGCAAAGTATTATCATTAGAATAGTCACAAAGCAAAATGAAATTATCACCTGGTTTCTAAGGCACACAGTTAGCTACAACACCTAAAGTGGGATTTATTTGATGAGCTGTATTAGGCTCTCATACCATCTGCTGTAACTCAGACAGAAACGGGCAAGGATTCATGTAATGCACCAGCAGTCTGCAGTCCAGAAAGGTTTGCCAACTAAAATATGTCAGTCTCCACATCTGAAATTGCTTTTACACGACTGAGTTTTTGGGAGAGTTTATGTATAAATTTTATAGGCTGACATACAGTGATCAATGTTTCCGAGAGTCAGGTAAACTCAGTTCTCTTTTGCCCAACAACGCCTCATTTCCTCCACATAAAGCTTGGGTCGCCATGTCCACTATCCAGTGCCTGCTTTACATTAACTTGTACATTAACTTGTACATCCGGTACTTGGGTCGTACCACATACAGTGATGGTATTATAAAAGGCCTCTAGATCACTTTGTTCAAACGTAACTGCCGGTTTTTGTGATGATCCAGGACCAAGGGAATTCTCTCCAACGATTCTCAAGTTGACAAATTTGATTTTCCAAATGTTTTCCACAAAAGGACAACGGATGAGTCCAAATATCTGCTCGAAAATACCCAAGCAGGAGTTCCCTCGGTGGACAGTCCCTGCGACTCCAATCATAACTAGCCCATGTGGCGAAGAAGCGCACTTGAGTCCCCGCGAATCCAGGTTGGGGTTCAGAAACAGATACTCTTCTTTCACTAGTGACAGCAAACGAAGGCTCACCATTTCTGCTCCGTGGTAGTCGGTCACGTTTTGTTCTGATGTGTTATAATAAAACCTAAGCTTGACATCATGCCAAAAGTGCTGTGGCCCCCACTCATCACGAGGTGGTCCCAGAAAGGGATTCTGAGAATTTAGAAGTTCAAAGAACCAGTGACAAAATTCTTCTCCTAGGCGGCGGAAATCAACCTTTTCAGTTTTTTTATCTTCTTTTGCCTGCTGAAATAACAACAAAAACAATAACAGCACAAACAAAAGGTTTAGTTTTCATATTTATTTTTTCAGCTAGAGTGTTTCAGAGCTGTTTTAATATACCAATTATATCAGAGGAAACTGAACTAAATGTGATCTTACTGAACTCATTATGCATACAGAATCTTTTTTTTTTCAAAAAGGAAAAAAATCATTTTAGAATTTCCACCTATACACAGGTAAAAATAAAGAAATGTAACAAGGCCTCTCAAAATATCAATATAGGCAAACAATGGTGATTTACAACAGTGTTTTGTCTTATTGTGGTAGCGTTTTCACAGGTGTGCATCTGTCAGCAAGGTCAAGTTATCCACGTTTTTTATAAGGGTTATTTTTGTTTGAAAGGCAGAACCACACAGAGAGGAGAAACCTCCCATCTACTGGCTCACTCCCCGAACTGCTACAACAGTTGAAACACATGGGAAGCCTTTCACCGCTTTCCCAGGCATATTGGCAGGCGGGTACATGGGACGTGGAACCCTGCTAGTCGGGCAGCTGGGACTTACGCTGAGACCCGTACGATGCCAAACCTACAGACAGAGGTTAGCATAACACACTACAGCTCCAGCCCCAAACTGTTTGCTCTAAGTAGACGCATTGTGTTTTGTATAAGCAGTGCCAACAAGGCTGGTAATAAGGCATGTTCACTGTCTTTACACAAAACTTCTAAGTCAGAAAGGTCATTTCCCATGATTGGGGTTTGTTTTAAACCATTCTCTTTTTGTAAAAAGAAATGTTACTGTAAAACTAGGCCTGACAGCCACATCCCCGTATATATGCATTTCAGAAAACATTACCTTAGTGAGCTGGTAGGAGATCTTACGTTTACTGAGCACGTGAACTGAATATCCCCGCAAAGTGAACGCCAAGTAAGTGATATGTTATTATTGCGACCATTTTACAGATCAAATAAACAAGACTCAAAAAGATAAAAGCACACGCCCAAGTTCACACAGCTATGACAGGGCAGACTTTTATTAGAAATCAAACTTGAATGATTCAAAGGTTAATGTTCCTCTTAGTTCAGTAAAAATATCTCTATAGAGGACTCTTCCTATTTTGAGGGCAAGTCCACTCACTGTAAAGCTGCAGTAAGTCAAAGTGTGTGGCATGTTATTTTAGCATCTTGAGGTTCATCCATTCAACATCTAAAGGCTCATACTCAATATCTAAAATGTACAATGGGGAAACAGAACAGCCAATGTTGGCCAAAAACAAAAAAACCACTGCAGGAATTTTCTGGAGCTAAAAACAAATAATTAAGCAATGTCTGTTTCTTTCTCAGAACTATTTGCAGAAATTATTTAATATATATAAATATATATATATATTTTTTTAATTGGGAAGTCAGATACACAGAAAGATCTTCCAGCTGAAGATTCACTCCTCAAGTGGCCTCAACAGCCGGAGATAAGCTGATCTGAAAGCCAGGAGCCAGGAGCTCTTCCAGGTCTCCCACATGGGTGCGGGGTCCCAAGGCTCTGGGCCGTCCTCGACTGCTTTCCCAGGCCAGCAGGGCTGCTGGGATTAGAACCAGTGCCCATATGGGATCCCAGCGCATTCAAGGTGAGGACTTTAGCTGATAGGTTAACGCATCGGGCCCTACAGTAATCTTTTTAAAGTTGAAAACAAAAAGCTAAAGAACTAAGGGTGCAAATTAAAATGCAATCATTGTCTAAGTAGTTAACAGTCCTATGTGCTGATGGTGGGTTTTGGCTTTCATCAAATATCAGAATTGTTTGAATTGTAATTGCTAACTATTTTATTTCTCCCTTTAGAAAGCAAATTATATGTAATTAACTTAAAATGATGAAATTGAAATTATTTTAGCATGTGTCCATTGATCTAGTGTTATCCACAGAATTTCAAACAGAACAAACGTTTAGATATAACATCTATTTTACCTGTTGAAAGAGTTGGATGTTCTCTGTCTTTCTAACCGGTACTGCCATTTCCTTCAATTTCAGCTGTGACTGGCTGTTCCAGTAATCTTTTGCATGCTGAATGAGATTATGTTTTTCAGTAGCTGGAGGTATTATAACTCCTTGTGTTGCTAAGTATTTAAATATGACATCTCGGTGGACTTTTTTACGCTTCAGAAGTTCTTCTACACTTTGACTATATGTTAATATTGCACGAATAGCATCTAAGAGAAAATTGAACAGATTAAAATAAATTCATGAGGCACTAATAAATTTTGCTGAGTGTCACAGAAATCATCAGATCATATCCATAAACTCTTACGATGCATTTCTTTTTGCAACAATGATTATTCAGGAAAAAAAAAACAGGAAGTGGATTTTCTTTTAAATTCCTACATGCTTTAACTTCCCTTATCTCAAACCACACCCTCTGCTTTCACTTCCCACAAGTAACAGCAAAATTTGAGTACACTGTTTTGAAGAATTAACTTTTAAAAAAAAATAGGGCCAGAAAAAAAAAAATTTTGTTTAGACCAAGAACCTCTACAAACAAGCAACTTGACAGTATTTTAGATTTCAAGAGATTTTAGTTTAATTTCCTTAAGCTGCATATAATCAAAGTTGAGTATTCATGGCATCAAATTGCACTATTTGAAAAAACATACTTGAAGTACACAAAAATGAACTTCCATGAACAACACCTCTGGCTTTAAATCTTAAAACAATTAGTAAGGGTGGGGCTGCCCCAGCCCTTCCTTCTGGGTATTCACCTCTGCTCTCAGCCACCTCACCAGAAGAAGCCCGTTATCACTCCCCTGCTTCTCTACCCTGCACAACAGAAGCAAGGACCCCTTGACAAAACACTAAGCCTGGCATTTCTAAATGTTCTGTAAAGCCAACCCATCAACAGGCAGTGCTCTAAGTTCACTGCTTCACGGAAAGTTTATGAGACGGATGTTAGTACACAGCTCTAATTTTCCATCAGTGTACTGAGTTTATGTGTGAATATACTATAAGGTTTCTTTCTGCTTATCGACCTTTCTACTGTGCTGCTTTTTACAAACATTGCAACTTGGGATATTCTCAGACATATAGTTGGTGTACAGACCATGCTAGAAATGCAGAATTTCTGGCCTTTCCCAAAGTATCAGGTCCTGCACTTGAACATAATCTCTGAGGTATCCAAAGGCATGTTCAAGTGTGAGAAGCCCGAATTGTTGAGCAGATCCCTAATGGTCTGTTTTAGGAAACAATGTCAAGCTTCTTTTCTAAAGTGGTAGATCTGACTTCATCCCTCCACTAGTGATCAGAAAGTTGGTGCCCAAGTATATTGACACTTGAAGTTTACAAACTTAAATTTTAAAAAACCAGCATAGTACATATAAAAGGCACTTGGTGCTCATTGCTTTCTCAAGAGGCTGAGTACCTTTCCACACTGTTGACACTTTTTCCTGAGATATGTCTCTCCAGACCTCATCGTGCTTGGAGTGGCAAGATTGGCAGTGATTCCTAACTGGTGAACTACCAAAACCATTTGAGCAAGAACCTCGGAGCATACCCTACGTGCGGGACCTAGGGAGGGTGGGGAATTGGGTGGGCCTTCTCCCTTAATACCCCCCTTTAAACATGAAGGAAACAATATGGAAATAATAGTCTTACCCACTTTTCTATAGCCCTTGAGCCTTTTTACCCTAATTAACTATGTAAAGGTTGTGAAAAATATAGTAAAAATTTTTTTTAAAAAAAGAAATGTCTCTCCAAATCAATGAACGTGTTTGTCCTGAGACTGCTTCTCGCCTTAACTGCTTCTAGTCACTGTCAATGAAATCCACAATGCTATTTATTAAATTTATTAAATTCACAGTAATCAGGACCATAAGGCGACCAGTATGTGAAACACAGAAATGTTTAAGAACTCTGCCTAAAGCTACTTTGCTCAAATTCTAAAATTTCATCCTATTTTCTATGTGCAAAGCTGTAGATTTCTTAAATGGCAGAGAAATGTAAATTCCATCTAAAAGCAGAGAAAGTTTGAAAAGCAGAACCATGTGCAGATACTTGACTCAAATATGACTTAACTCCTATATAATCATTTAACATTTTAGAGCAAAACTCAGAAAATCAAATAATACTGTGACACACAAAAGGAAGCAAACTTCTTTCCTTTTCACGTGCACTTGTTACAACAGGCTTAACAGTCTCCATCTTTGAGTGCTACCACAATGCACTCGTAAAACACAAAATCACCTTAGAAAAACTTTGCCTCCAAAGAAGGCATGGAGTCAATATGCCTTTTCCTAACAGCAGATATTCTACACGGGAGACTGACACAAACACGGTCATTTTATCTACCGCCCAGGTCCTCAGGCTCAAAAGAAGACGGCAAGAAAAGCCCAGGCCACAGCTGATCTCCACACAATACACGTGACCGAAACTGAAAACAAACACCACCCCGGCTTCCCCGAATTCGAATAATGACTGGAAGGGAGGCGGACACTTGGACCCAACAAGGGTTCGCCCACAACATCGATATGAAGGAAACCTGGAAACCATTTCAGCTCCCCCACCTTGCTTTGGGGTGTCCTGAATCGGGGCTGGCCCCGGGGTCCGGGCTCTCTCGTCGGGACGCTTCAGCAACCACAGACTCAGGATGAGGCGTCCTCGGGGTGCCCGCCCAAGCTGCAGCACCCACAGTCCCGGGGTGTGCGGTGGTGAGGCGTCGGGGCGCCCAGTGCCCTCGGAGGGCGGCTCTGCCTAACCCTGGCGGTTCTCGGGGTGCCCACCCAAGCTGCAGCACCCACAGTCCCGGGCTGAGACGGCGGGGCGCCCAGTGCCCTCGGAGGGCGGCCCCTCTCCTACCCTGGCGGTTCTCGGGGTGCCCACCCAAGCTGCAGCACCCACAGTCCCGGGCTGAGACGGCGGGGCGCCCAGTGCCCTCGGAGGGCGGCCCCTCTCCTACCTTGGCGGTTCTCGGGGTGCACCAGGCGGTTGGTGACGGTGTCGCACAGGGCCAGGATCTCGTCGTTGTCCAGCAGGCCGAGCAAGTTACGACAGCCCTCCATTTCTTGGCCACTGAGCCCCGACATCTTGACCCCCGGGGAGGGGGGAGAGGACGACACACACAGTGTCGCCCCTAAGGCCCCACCAGGCTCGTGCCCTGGCAACAGACACAGGAAGTGCCTTGCCGGCTGTTCGCCTCCGACGGGCCTCGGGTACGCCAAACCTCTGTGAGCGGAAGTAACCGCCAGCGTTTCCCAGCAAGGAAACGCGGTGTTCCTGACTGGCGGTTCCGGGCTGGCTCTGACAAGAGGACGGGCTCATGCATCCTACCCAAGGGAATCGCCGCGTTTACAAGGAAAATTTCGACCTTTCACAAGTAAGCAGATTAGCAAAGAACGAATCTCCATTTAAACAGAGCCTTAAAAAGCTGGACAAATGAAGGCGGGTGAAAAGCTAGCGGAGCTCCCGGGATGCGGCGGCCGGCCGAGGGCGCAGGCTCCTCCCCGCTCTGCCGGGATCCGGGAGGGCTTCGTGTTCCCGCAGCCCAGGCCTCGGAGAGCGAGCCAGTCAGCCCGAGGCACTTGGGTCTTTCTGTCTGGTGCACAGCTTTAAAAATACAAAATCGAAACCAGCCATGACAGGAAGAGATCTGCAGCAAAAAAAAAAAAAAACTTTACAGGAAAGGATCAGCTCAAGAATTTTTAAAACAAGCTTTCGGAGGAAGGTCCCGGCCACAGACTTCGCATTTTCTTCAATAGCAACGTGAATTCTAAATTCCACCACCCATTCACAATCCTCAATAAAGTGTTTGGACCTTAAAACATTTTTTTAAAACAAAATTTCAAAGAGTTTGCTTATTTGAAAGGGTTTACTGAGAGGATAGAGAGCTTCCATCTGTTCACTACCCAGGTTGGTCACAATGGCCAGGGCTGGGCCCGACAAGAATCAGAAGCTTCATGAGGCTCTCTCATGTGGTTGGCAGGGTCTCAAACACTTCGGTCATCTTTTGCTGTTTTCCCAGGCCACAGGCAGAGAGCAGTGAGCAGCGCTGACAAGAACTGTGGGCCATATTTGCTGCCAATGTGCAGGCAGCAACTTAACCTGATATGCCACAGCACCCACCGCTAAATTCAGTTTTTGTAACCTTGAGAGCAGGTGTCCCGAGTTCAGTGAGATGTACTCGATTGCTTAGGTGTAACTATAAAAGTGCTATGCTGGAATTTGAGTACACTCTGACCAATCACACTAATTTGGCTGTTTCCGTTAAACCAAGTTCTAGTGAAGTTCCACCTACTGAACCCTTCTTGGAGGGTGGGGGGGATGTCTTGCAGTTTGGAATATTAGGTCTTATTATTCAAATAACTATTCATCCAGTACTGCTTTAAGTTCCTGTTAGCAGGACACATTTTCCAGGAAGGGTTTGAGAAAGTTCTATGAAATTAAGGAAAAATAGAACCCTCTAGAAAAACAGGAAAAACTGTTGCTTCAGATACTTGTATTTTCAAGCCTTGCCTTATATCACAATCACGTGGAGAACTTCTTCAGCTAGAGACTAGGCCTATTTCAAGTAAGTATTTTTTTCTTACAAGTTTCCATGTTATTCTTAATTCTACTTCAGGGAACCAAAGTTTAAGTATCACTGCTAGTGGAAGATCTTAAGACATCATCCACGTGTGTTTGTATCAGACTTAATCCTTTGACATGGCTAACCCCAGGTGAGCATAGCCCTGGATTATACAGTGTAAGAAAAAAAAAAAAAAAACTGCACAGCAGAATCAAAACCCTGGTTTTAGGATGCAACTGGCTTTTAATGGCACTCCTATGATTTCAAGTTAACCTTTTGAAGTCTTAGGAGTTGAAAAAGTGTTTATATATTTACTTTTTAAAAGAGATAACACATACACAATACAGTTAGTAGTAAATAGAAGCTGTTTCTTCCACTGTGCAGTATCCAATAAGGCATGAACCTCACATTTTTTATCTTGAATTCATTTAACATGGAACTGACTCCATCTTAAATCTTCACATACAGCCCAAACTTTTGTCAGGTTAGTAGTTGCCTGTTGAAATCACTAAATGCTATGTGCTGTGGTTTGCCCCCAAAGCTTCAGGTGCTGGAGACCTGGTCCTCATGGTAACCGAATGAGATGATGGGACCTTGGAGAGATGATTAGATCCTCGGGTACCATCACTAGGAAGCATTAATGGAGATCGCAAGAAGTAGTAGTTAACAAAAAAGTGAACCCGACTCTTTCCTACTCTTACTCTGGCTCCCCATACTTGTGCCTGTTCTGCGTTTGCATTATGTTGTGACACAACCAGAGGGGCAGACCCATGCCCTTTGGCCTTTCCAGGCATCAGAACTGTGAGCCAAATACACTAGAAGATGACCCACACCCACTATTTTGTCTTAACATCCCAATGCATCAATTGGACTTTGAGAATTGTAGAGCTCAGCTCTAGAATGCTTCAGTAACTTAGTATTAAAGCATAACCTTTTAAACAAAAAAATTATATGCTCCTTTCTTTGCAGTGCTCCTTCAGATTGCATCAACATTTCTTCAAGTCCCAAACCCCTGCCTTTTTTTTTTTTTCAGTTGCAAGTCATGGCAAGTAGTGCAGGAGTCTCCTAGAGTGATTTACTTCAGCCCCTTTATTTTCCCCAAGGTCTACCAGAAACTTCCTCTCTGAAGATTACCAGGGTAGACAGCTCATCTACTGTTGCTCATGGAGATTTCTGTCATTTATTAGACACCTACTAACTTTGCAAAAGTATGTCACCATAAAACCACCTACCTGAAATTATCTAAACTTCTACCAACTTTTATTTCAATTAATACCCAAAGTACTTCTGTATTTTTTCTAACTTTTAGATTTGTCTATTCTTAAAAGATAAATTGAATATTGTACTGTTAACTGAAACACCATTCTTTTATCATGATACAACAGAAGTGTCTTTCACTATATACCTTAAATAATCCTAACTTTTTTTATAACATACTATATAAAACACTTTCATTACCAACAAGGACATTGTTTTATTGAACAAATCTATGTACAGTACAAAAAAACTTCTTGAAATGAGACACTATTGTTGAGTTATTGCAGTTCAATGGCTCAGTTTTAATTTGTACTCTTATAAAATGCAAGATAAAATAATTTAATGTTCAACAAGGAAGCACAAATTGCCTTTCTTGCTGAATCTGTAGTATTGTCTAACAATCCCAGACCACAGATGCAGCATTTACTCATTCGGAAAAGGTGTTTTACAGTACCAAATAAATTAGAAAATAAACACTATCATCCCTTTTTAGGTTCTTCATTCATACAACAGCATTAAACCAAACATGAAGAGTACGGTTGAACCTTTAGTGTGACTTGAAAACAATCACAGTTCAATGGTATATATTATCAATGCATTATATCATTTGTGGTTTTAAAAAAAGGAATATGGCTAAAGCCCAAAGTACCAGTGTCCTGATCCACAGTCCCCTTTATCTCCTCAGTAATCTCTGAGCAGCAAAACTTCAGATTTGCTCTTTTTCTGACCTAACACACAGCAGAAAGTAGTTAATATTTTGAAGGACATTTTTAACGTAGAAGCAAAGATTTGAGAAGTGGTCCTTATAAGATAAACACATCCTAAAAACGAGTAGAAAAGAACAGGAAAGGAACATAAGGAAGGAATAAGAAGTTTCTGAATCCCCAGTTAAAACTGTTGCAAGTTTATGCAGCCCACAAAAGTAAAATGATGTGGGTTTATATTTTAGCAGAGACATAATAAAACATACATTCTTTCAATAATCATTATTTAAGTACATAAATAAGGTTAGAATGGTGTGGTCAAATAGAATTTTATAAAATACCCCTTGATTTAGTTATGTATATAAATGTTTGATGTTCATCTCTGAGAAACACTTTTAGTGACACAGAAGTGAAAGTGAAACCTAGGACAATGTAACAAATGGAATATATATATATAACATTTTAGCATGAACTTCAAAATTGTGCCCTTTTTGGGGCACAAATTTATGTCATAACTTCTTGGAAATGTGAGGGATATTATTTTAAACTCCTGGAAAATGTACAAAGCAGAACTTAATGTTTCAAAAAAATTGCACTCTGCAGATGAACCATTTTTCAAACAGATTTTTTTTTATTACAAGATGTAGTTTGAGAATGAACTGAAATTGAACTTAATTATTACATTTTTAGTATCAACAAGTATGGCAAACATGTTTAGTTGACTTAAAAATTTCATTATGTGATTGTTATTGAAATGTAAATTCCACAGCCTAATATAGGCTATATAACATAATAAAAACAAATATATGTCAGTGGAATGAACTTATGACCATCATTGCATAGTAGTGAATGCCCATGGTAAATAAAGTTTTAGATCATTTGATCCATCAAGACCTGAAAATCAATAAAGTCTGGATGCTACCCTGAAAGAAATGTCCCACACTTCCCTACTAACTTCACTCAATAAGTTCCTGGACCCGGCATGGTAACCTAGTGGTAAAGTTCCATCTTGAACCCACCAGGATCCCATATGGGCACAGGTTCCTGTCGCCGCAGCCCCGCTTCCCATCCAGCTTCCTACGTGTGGCCTGGAAAAGCAATTGAACATGGCCCAAAGCTTTGGGACCTTGCACCTGCATGGGAGACCCAGAAGCTCCTGGATCCTGGCTTCAGATCAGGTCAGCTCAGCTCTGCCCATTGTGGCTACATGAGGATTGAATCACCAAAGATCACGTTAGATCTTTCTCTCTCCTTTTTTCTATATATTTGACTTTCCAATAAAAAATAAATCTTTATTTAAAAAAAGTTCAAATATCCTAAAATTTAAGATAGTACAATCCAATGAGTTTCAAAACTGACCAGCCAACATAACTAGAATAATTTGGTGACACTGATATGTTATTGGTAAGTCCATTTTTGAAAAGCATTTTTGTTCTATTAACACACAATTAAGTATAAAGAGGTCTTTAACCATCTTTCAATAACAGACAAGAGGAAAACTTCTGAGACAGTATTTTAAAAAATATTAGGTTAGCAATTTATTGGGTATTAAATTAAAAGTCCTTAAGAAAATTACCAGTCACCAAGGAAAATCATCTTATATTGTGTTCTTGCTGTGCAATTATTTTAATAAATATTTACTTTTACATATAAAAA